TCTTGAGGTCAACTTTGCCACCTAGAAAACCAACCAAAAGCACTTTAAGGGGATTGATATTGGGGCAAATCACTCAGTGGGCATGCACAAACACGGATTCTTCTTCTTCCTCTCAGATGAAAACACACAAGCATAACGGGGGTGGGAGTGAAATGGAGTTCTCTCTATAAAATTGAAAGACCGTAGTAGCCATGTTTGCTCAGCCATGTCTTTGTCCAAATACATATTTTCTTTTTAGGGCTTTCAGCACAAAATTGCACAAATTGTCAAGGCAGCGTGGTTCACTCGAGTGAGCTTTATATTCCTCTTCTACTCGTTTGGCTTCCGGATTGAAAAAATCGCACAGTGTATGCCTGGCTTTAGTAACTTAATGATAAAAAAGTCTTGGAGGTAGACACTGGTGTAGGAGTCTTGAAAGCTGCTGTTGGCTCAGAGAGAGCTGAGATTGCAGAAAACCATTAGACTGGTGCTCAGCATGATGGAATTAAGAGACCGAGTGGGTTACCAGAAGACCTAATCTCAGGCAAGTACTCTAAAGACTTAAATGATATTCAGAATATTTGATGTCATAGTGGAAATTTGGAGTCTTGAATCTATGATGGAGCTCAGAGACTTATGTTGAGAATGAATATATGGAGGATCCTGATCTATGGAGGAGCTGTGAAATTAGGTATACAAGAAGAACCTCAGATAGTAGGGAAGCTCTAAACATGGGACAGGAATTGGAAGCTTCAAGGACCCTGAAATGTGCTGAAGCCACATCATGGATCCTCAACAGAGCTCCGGAGAACAGTGCAAACCCCTGGAGGTCCCTAGATGGAGCTCTGGACCAGAAACATGAGATAAATCACAGAAACCATAACTGGGGGCTGTATCCTAAATGCCTTCATATTCATTATAGCAACGCCAGATTCTTTTGCTGCAGATGTCATAACCATTTGGCATATAATAGAAAATAAACAGCCAGGTTCAAACAGTATTATCATTCCAAGTTAGTACTTCTTCTTATAAAAAGACAGGAACTGCATAACGATTTGAAATGTAGAATTAAAAAATAAATAAATAAAACCTGCCAATTATGGACAGTTATAGACATTAGCAGGGAAGACGTGAACATAAGCAGTATAAACCAGTGATAAACAAAGGGAAAAATAATAACATCACTGATAATCAAAACAGAGAAAAAAGGGAAACTTAGTTTTCCCTTCAGGAGTTTTACAGGGAAAACTACCAAAACATTAATATAGAGCTAACTTCTATAGCTAATAAAGTATAAAACAGGAAGAAACTGGAAGGTTTAAATAATAACCTAATAAGAAAAACTCAAAACGATGATGAACACTTGAATTCAAACTAAACAAGGCTAGTTATAAAGAACAAGAAACATAGAAAGATGTCTTAAAAACCAGAAAAAGGACTTAAATCAGAGGCAACCAGACTTTTGCGCAGTTTTTAAGAAAACATTTCCATACCTGTCCAGACCTTTTTGTCAACACTAGCTGAACCATAAGTTTGAGCCCTGCTATATTTAAGCACACAGAGGCTGATCCTTCCTCGTGCATTTCAAGTGAGATGTAAATCAATGACCTACATGCTGTTCTCCTTTTTGGGGGGGTATTGTGCTTAGTGTTGGTCAGCTAGTGGAATCTTAATGGGTATACCTATATAATTTCCTTGGAATTAGTTTACAAATAGGCTCGTTGAAACTGAAACTGCAATCCTGTTCAATTCAATTCAGTTTATTTATATCATTCCAATTAACTCAAGGCACGTTACGGAGATAATACTGTGAGATAGTTTAGGTAACCAGTTGATTGCATCTAGTCATTGAGTTGTAAGACAAGTTCCTTCTAAAAGAGCATCCGAATATGATTTTCACTTGCATTTTGTCCTTGACTCTTCTGAAATCCCTATTACTGAGCATACATGTAGCGACAGTGGAGTGTAACACTCCCTTTTAACAGGAAGAAACCTCCAGCAGAACCAGACTCAGTGTGAGCGGCCATCTGCCAAAGCCGACTGAAGTTCGAGGAGATAGAAACCAATATACAAATGAGGCAGATATACGAAAGGTAACTAGCTCTGCAGGTGGCCCTCTCCTTGTTATGGGTGCCATAATTTTTGTCCAGGGCTGTGTTTCTTTTCTAAAAAACTTTCTGTTGAAGCATAGTTGAAAATCAGTGTCTTTTGATGGTTGCCTTTTTCAGAATTTTTCACATGGTCACATTGTGTGAGTAACACTTTAAGTACTTTTGAGGTTCTACAGGTAAGAATAAGTAAAAGTGCTTAACTTTAAAAGATAGTTTTTCTTTCAATATTTTATCTGATTAGATCTCTGTGCCAGCCAAAGGTAGCAAAGAATGATTCATAATTGATGATGAACTCCAAAAAAGTCTGTATATAACTAAAATGTCTCAAGACTTACTGCCAATACTCCAGAACTGAAGATGAAAAGGATGCATTCAATGAGGAGGTCCAGTTAGAGGAGCCGTTATAGTTGTTTATTACCACACAGTGATCTGAAATATAGAAAAGGGGTTTTTAACTTGCATGGCTATTTATTTAAAAATGCAGTCGAAAATCCTGAATGAAGTACAAAAGCATTGCTTGCAAACATTCTTTGCATATTTTGTCACATAACGAAAACAAACCTGAACTTATAATATATAATAACTGTAAAGTTGAAATAAAAAAAAAGGTTTTTATATTTTATAAATAAAATTTAATTGTGCATTCTTAGCCCTCATGAATCGATACTATAAAGAGGTCTTTTGTGATTTGTCTTTATCACCCTTAATCTTTGCAATACAAATTCAGTCATATTTCATAAAGAGCCTTGCTCAGCATCAGAAAAAAAATATTCTAACAGCTGATTGCTGCCATCACAGACCCTGGCATTGCTCCAAAAAACCAACGGCGAGTGCATTATGCCGCCCCTAAATTCATCTTGGCGAGTGCATTGTTGCACCCTTAAATCCATTGCGGCTGGCACCGACACCCATCTCCGATCGTGCCCTACATCCCCCTCTGGTTTCGGCATTGCGCCCTCGGCGCATCGCGCTGGGTGCGCACATGGGGTGCCCTAAGCGCACCCAGCTCTTTGTGCCCTTGGATGATTGACAATCTTTACAGATATGTTATTTCATTTATTTCTTTATCTGCTTTTGTCTCCTTGAACTTCAGTCGACCTCAGCAGATGGCCGCTCTCCCTGAGCCTGGTTCTGCTAGGGAGCTTTCCTCTCAACTGTCCCCACATGCATGCTCAGTGCAAGGGATTACAGAGATTCTATGAGAATCCACAATCAGCTGGTTTTCCTTAGATAGAAATATTTTAAAGAATAAGATTGTGTTACCTGCATAAATAAATTGAATCCTTTCCTAATTGCAGCTTTTTTCTGTGCGAGAAAAGCTATATGCTTATATGCAAAGTTACTATTGCATTTGTTGTCCAACACACAGCCATTTGGGTATGTGTTCACAGAACACATATATAACAAAAAGGAAGTGATCTAATCAAATATTAAATGACATACTTGTATTAAATCGCACAACGCCACATAAATGGCATGCCAGCCATCTTTGTGCACTGTTGTTCCAAAATGTGGCACTCAGAATAAATCCGTTCTACTCTCCCAAGCTTTCCATGTTGAAGGCAGTAACACATAGAAAATTCTCATATAAATTGTTGGGCCCCTGACCTTCTTGCACTTGTTATCCATAGTGCATCTTTGTTGATCACTCACAACACACCCTATAATATTATATGCGATATTTAGTTCATGCAATCATTTAAGTGTTCCTTTTGGGATTTTACTGTATGCACATAATGTTGTGCAAGTCATAGAGAATGTGCAAATTTAGTGTAATCTGAACAACAAACTTACTTTAGGGCTAAGTCAATAGTTCCATTCCTATTTCATCAAATGCCAGATTTGTGCAGCATTAAGGTAACTTTTATTTTCTCCTCCCTGCCTGGGTGTCATGCTTTATAAAAAAGCATGACACAACAATAAAGAACTTCTTTATCATGTTTTTTTTTTTTTTTTTGTATATGAGAACTAGTTGGCAAGAGTACTTTTGCATGTACCATATGTCTAAAATCCTTGAAATTGTGTACGCTCTTACACAGTATATAGTTTACTTCAATGTTGTGATATGTCTTAGAGCAATGTGTCATATTTAGTGCTTTTACCAGTGTTCCATGTGTTGTTACAAGATGTCCAGGGTAACTCTCTGGAGAATGCAGCGAAGAAGTAGAGGAAAGCCCAGGCCAAAACTACGATGTAGCTGGTACTAGCATAAAAAATGATCATCTGGCTGGCATATCCCAAGCCTGAAAATAAGATGGTTTATGATTTCCGTTTATTTCCTAAAATGTGCAGCTTTGTAATCACAGTCTTACATTCTTTGAGAGCTTGCTTACCTTCAAACAATGGGCAGACCTTTCTCCAGCACATGATTCCCCCCTGACTGGTGTACTGACCCAGCGCTGTTTCCAGAATGAACATGGGAATTCCACAGGTAACAAGGAAGAGGATATAAGGGATGAAGAATGCACCTAAAAAAATAACCATTCAATATTTATAAGGACTCAAAAACATTTTTTTAAACTGAATGAATTAAAGCCATATTTTCAAAATGGTCAAAGGGGAAAAACATCTCTCCACATCAATGTGACCCATGAAAAAACAACTCCTTTTTGGGAAGTTGTTAATTGCAATCAACTTTGATGGCCAAATTTGTGTGCACAAACAAGGAATTTTTCCTTTTATTTTGTTTTTCCATTTGAGGTTTAAAATGTATTATTTAAGTGAAGCTTTAAAAAATGACGAGTTTATACCAATCCCCACTTTGGCTGTTTTATCCAACCAGATTACACTATTTGATCTTTTTCCCTTGTCCTGTTCAGGATCATGGCAAGTAGACCGAATTTCTGACTGCATAGTTGTGCTCAACAGTTTTAGTCTTTCAATGGAGCCTTTACCAATATAAAGCCTCTCTTGCTACCCAACCATTGAGGATTTATTTATTCTTAGTATACCACATACATTCTGATACCAAACATGATGGGTAAAGAGGGCCGCACTCCTCCCACTCGCTGCAGGAGCCCAGAGGGAGCATAGGGAGCACAGGATCCAGGACACCAGGAGCCCCCGACAGCACATAAATCTGTCAACCCACCACAGGGGCGGACATCACACACCCACCCAGAGGACCGCAGAGGAGGCCAAGGGTACACACCCACGGCGAGGGGCAGCCCCAAGCACCAGGGGCAGCAGTCCACCAGGCCGCCCCAGTACGGCCCACGAGAGGAAAACAGGGCCCCAATGCCCGAGTGCCCCCAGCAGAGACCCCGCCCAACACACAAGAGGGAAGGGCAGCCCCATACAGACAGCCAGGGCGGGCCAACACCCGGCCCAGCACACCCAGAGCAGCGCTTCAGAGCCAAATGTGGCCACGGGTGAGTGTAGCAACGAATAGTGAGGGGAGGCCAGAGGACACCTATTCCCAGACCAGGCTCCCTCCATAGCATCCATACACACACACACCTAAAGTGAAATACCTAAATTCAAGTAACAGAATTAATAAATAGATAGATAAATAAATAAGACAAATTTTAATGAGAAAAAAGTGTAACTAAAGTAAAAAAAATAAATAATTACAAATAAATAAATGAATAGTCCGGTCCTCTTGTCTATCGAGAAGTGCACCGACCAATTCAGCCACTGCCACCCCAAGCCCGTAGACTGAACCCCAAGCAGCCCCCAGGATATAGGGGTGCAAGAGCACCACAGTGTTGTGAGCTAAGATGCAATTAAAATGGCAGGGGAGGGAATGTAGAAGGATGCAAACCAGAGACAGACAGTGGAGCTCCTCCAAAGCCCCACCCCCAACAAGGGCCCTCAGTATCAGGTGATGCTAGGAGCCAGGAGCTGCACAGAGCCGGCAACGTGGTTCCCGCTCTCCAGCTTTTGCACCGCTCCCCACCCCCAACAGCCCTGTGTGTTATGTATACAGTATGTGTCTTATGTGCTAGTGGCCAAGACCTTAAGTGTGTGAGTAAATGTTGAAGACTAGTGCCAGAGGGGAGAGGCGTGGGGATATGTAAGCCTAGGTGGAGAAGTGTTCCCCCCAGGTGATGAGGCCAAACTGCCAGAAAGGGCAACCCTATCCCCCAGCAGCCAACACATCCAAAGCAACCTATCCCCCCCGAACACAGAAAAACCCCTAACCTGGCATCCAACCCCTCACTCCAACCCACACCTGGGTGACCCAGCCCCCCGCCAACCCCACTCACCACCACACGGCAGCTTCATCTTTGGGCCACCAAGGCCGACCCCCAGACTACATACACGACACACCCACAGCAAGCTAACCAACCCCCACACCCAGAAGAGCACCAGGGCCCCCCAACCCTGGGATCCCCCCCACAGCAAACCCCAGACCCACCAAGAGCAGGGAGACATCGACCCACTCTCCCCATTTAATGATGGAACTAATCAGAGAGGACCAGAGAGTACAAGTATCAGTCAGCTGATGTTTTGAGAAGGCAGACATTGTTTCAATACTGAAGTGACTATCTTTTAAAGTGATCTATTTCTAAACTGATTAATAGACAGTTTTATCTTTGTGTTCCAGTTCAGAAGAATAGGTTTCTTTGTGATACCTAGGGCAGTGAGTACTACAGGTGCTGAGTTAACATCTATGCTGCTGCCACCCAGCTTGCCCTGTAAGCACAGTGTGGGGTGTGCTGGAATATTACATGTAAGTAACCCATGCTGAGCGATCCTGACAGACCTCAGTCCAGAGTCTCTGAACCGGTGCGCAGAACCACAAGCATGCATATATTCATCAGGTGTGTTCTCTATGCACAGATATTGGTGTGTGTGTAAGACCTATCTTGAACATCCTCTGTCCTGTATAATGTGTTCTGAGAAGTATTTTATATTGTTTGAGTTGTACATTTTTATTTTTAAGTATTCTAAAGGTGTTAAAGCATATTTCTGACCAAAATTGTGATCTAGTTGTAAAGATAAGTGTGTCTCCCATTTAAGGGTTGGTAACGACATTGAGTTATCTATAATGGTTAGTAGTCTGTATATCTTTGAGAGGTATTTTGGCAGTTGTAAGTCTAGTTGCTTTACAATATATTTTGTATTAATTACTGCCTTGAGTGGTTGGTATTCTAAAAATGTGTTGCTATTTATTTCATATAGTTTTATAAGTGTGTGAAATATCGAAAAAAAATTTGCATTTTTTTGTTTTGCAGGATGTCAGGGTTGTTCCAGATGGGTGTTAAATTGCACGTAAAGAGTGGATATGGTTATTTTAAGAAACTCCCACAAAGCTGTCAAAGAGGAGCTGATGTTGATGCGTTTAAAACATTTACAATGTTTAATGCTCGGACTGATAAATGGTAACAATAACTCTTTCCAGATTGTCACAGAATGACAAGATTGTTCAATAACCATTCATTCTTCCTGTTTTGGGTTACTTTTAAACAAACGTAAGATATACTGCAGCCTATTGGATAAAAAATAGTGCTGGAAGTTTGGTAACTCTAAGCCACCACAATCTTTGGCTTTTTGCAGAGTTTTTAAGCTGATTCTTGGTGGTTTATTTTTCCATAAAAATTTTGAAATACAGGAATCTAATGACTTAACCCTGCAATGCCAAATGTATCATATTTGATACATACAGTTTTTTGAAATGATTTGCGTCTGACACCTTTTGCATAATTTAATGGTAAAAACTTTGCTAAAAATCCTACTGTACACAATCAGATATACCTGATAACAGAGGGCAGAAGACTACACAAAAAATTATCTTGACTTATCGCATAGTAATAAATTATTAATATAAAAAATGTATTTCTGTTTTTTCTTTTTACATATTTTGTTAAAAGGCCATATAAGGACTTCAAACCAAATAAAAGTTATTTTTTTATTTTGTTTTATTCTTGGATTGGGCTTTAAAGGGTTAAACCATGCAGAGGATGGTCTTGTGGGGATCATTTAACAGGAAATTTACTCTAGGAAGAACCACTTTTTTTTATGGTGGCTGCTCTACCAGTTAGTATAATGGGCAAGGGATTCCATTTTGTGAGATCATCTTCTATAGATTTTAAGACTTGGCTGTGATTCAGCTTTGTTAGCTACGAATGCCTGGGGGAGATGTTTATTCCCAGGTATCTAAAGTTTTTTGACTTCAGAAAATTAGTTGATATATTTGTAGGGCTACAATTTACAGGGAGAATCGTAAATTTGACCAGTTCATAGAGTAATCAGAAGGTGCTGAGAACTTGTTTATTTTTATCATTATATTATTGTTATTTTTATTTAGTGCAGTTGTGTTAGTATGAGAAACCTGTGGATTCTGGTGGAAAAGTAATATATCATCTGCATAAAGACTTATCTTATGCTCAACATTTTATATTTCTACTCTGCCTGATAGCAGCTGCTAGGGTTTCAATAAATTGTGCAAAAAGTGAAGTAGAGAGTGGGCCTCCTAGTCTGGTGCCTCTCTGGAGGTTGAAGGTTGGAGAATTTGGTCCTGACACAGGCATTTGGAGAACTATACAACATTTTCATCCAGTTTATGGAGGATGGCCCAAACCCAAATTTGTATAGTATAGTAAACAGGAATTTCCATTTAACATAATGAGATGCTTTTTCTACATCTAGTGAGACAATTGTGGCTTCTAAGTTTTTGAGAGTAGAATAGATGAATTAACCCAAGTGCATTAATGGAAGACTGTCTTCCCTTTATGAAGCCTGTTTGATCTGGATGTATTAAAAGAGGTGTTCCTTTTTCCAGTCTTCTAGCAAGGTTTTTGAGATTGGCAGAGTGTAGGGCTTTCCCAGGTTTCTAGAGCAAAATAATATTTGCAGAATTCCTGTTTGTATCTAATGAAGTGCTGACATAGGAGCTTATCTGCTATGGAAGAATGGCCAGTGAATTTAAGACAGTGGGTTTAGGCTGAAGGGAATCAAAACTTAAATATATACAGACCCTGCATAAATTAGATTCAGCAACTAAGCCTTTAAATGTATTTTGATGTGCTAAACATGTGTAGGGTTAATATGTGGTTTATGCAAGGTCAGGTGTAACTGAGTGCTTTGAATGTAGAGATGTGGACAGATAGGCAAAAGCAGCTACAGTGGCTACTGCTGCAGCGACTGATGTCAATGGAGGAAGAAACCACAGATGAAGTTGTCTGGACCAATACTCCACCAGAACCAATTGTTTTCAACAGCATTTCAGGTAAAAGCAATGTTGAACTTTCTAAGGATGTTGGAGACTATGCTTGCTCTGCTTGTGTCATTGACTCTGTTGATGAATGGGTTGTGGAGAGAGAAAAGGCTGGAAATCAGTCAGTGAATCCAAAACCACCACTGCTGGCACTGATGGCATGTCAGATGACATCTGTGCCTCTAAGTTGGAAGCTTTGTCACTACCAAGGTGGGCTTCAGAGATGGCTGGGTCAGCCCTTAAATAGGCACTTTCACCAAAAGATACATAAAATGTTACAATAAATGCTAAATAGTAGATAAAAGTGCTTTTCTGTTAAAAACAGTCAAACTTATTTAATCTTATCAAAGAAAGATACTACATATGGTAAAGATAACGCTTATATTAGATCCAATTACATAAGATTTTATTTGTTAAAAAAAATGACAGCAGTTCATTTTCATCATCTGCGAAAATCTTGGATTTTGAAAATCGAAAAAAGAAACAGATAAAACACTTACCTCCACCATTCTTGTAACAAAGGTATGGGAATCTCCACACATTGCCAAGTCCAATAGTGGCACCAGTCACAGAAAGGAGAAATTCAATTTTACTCTCCCATTTGCCCCTCTGCTTCACAGGCTGTGAGGTCTTTCTCAGCAGTTGGCACCGCTTCAACAGGGAGTCTGCCATCCTGATAGGTGAACAGTTCTATGACTGATGTAGATCTTCCACTTGTCAATTGTCTTGCTCTGAATCAAGGCAGAATTATAGGTTACCTAATGCAGAAATATTGGTTACCTAATGGTGACCTACAGACAGGCAGGCAGACCTTTGGTGAAACCACAAGGGGGCCCTCTAGCTGCTTTCAATAAGATATGTTCATAAAGCCTAAAACCCAAAAAAGAATGTTTAGAATAAGTTTTGTTCTTTCTTTTCATTATTTCTGGAAAACAAGCCCTAACCAGCACAGTGGATGAGGTATGTGAAAGTAAGGTTTACTGAATAGTTACTATGTAACCCTTAGTAAAATTACAAATAACAATTGGACAATTGACAAAGGAACAAGCCAGGCATTTGCACAAGTTTTTAAAATTCTTATTCAACATACAAAATCTGAATATTTAGCCTTTTTATTTAGAAAGTAAAGTTTGTTTTCATATAGTGCTTTACATCTTTAAAGGAAGACTATCAAGTTTGCCTTTATGAATAATCTCCTTTTAATTGGTCTGAAATCTAGGTTAATTTAATCTATAGAAGTTCTAAAGCAACCAAATATCACACTTTTTTTATAAATGGCTTAGAATTCTTCAATGTTCAATATTCGTGTTACTTTGTTGAGTTAAAACATGTGCTTGGTTGGTTGAGGATTCTCGCAATTAAAAACAAAAAGCTTGGTTGTTTTCCTTATACCTAAGGTCTAATAGATTTGTTCCTAAAACCTAAGAAGTAACAGTGTTTTTCGCAAGACCAGACATTTTCTGAGAGTCGATACTTGACAACTTTTTTGGTGATACCTGAAATCTAATGACTTGACTAGTGAGAACCTGAAGGGTCTTAGAAATAAATAAATGGGGCTGTGGTATTTTCAAGGAGATTTCCACCAGGTTTCCTTCACACAGTATTTGGCATGTAAATCTTTTTACATGTTTGATACTGCTTTTAGTAAACTGAAAACATAACTTTGTATGGTTTTCTTTTAATCGATACTTTTTGCAAATCTTCTATGAACCCAATTTTTGTGGCTTACAGTGGTGCCATCAGCTCCTCAAAATGTACTACGGTAGTCTTTTGGGCTTGTTTCTTGTTAATACTCTTTCCTCTGGTTTTATATGGATGTGCCATAATTTTCATTTTCGGACGATTAGTTTAACAGCACAATGTAAGATTTTAAAATCTTGACAAGCTGTATTGTAACTGAGTTGTGTTTTACATTTCTCAGACATATAAAGCACTCAGATATGACAGCAGTGAGGGAGAAAAATGCCCTGTGATGAATAAATAAAAAGCAAAGCTGTAGTTTTAGTAAAGCTTCAGTAAGCCTGTGGCTCTAAGACTCAGCTAGGTCCCTGTTGTTCTTTTGTTATTCTGTAGCTGTAGCCTGCTATGGGGCCCCGACATTACAAAGGGGCATGAGGGAAGAAGTGCTGTGGGCCTGCATTTTCCTTCAGCATGTGAGTGGATGGACCTTTATTCTGGTAAAATAACAGTGAAATTCCTGGTATTCAGCAATAGAGCAACATGCATCTGCTGCCTTTTTAGGTACTTCCACTTGTTTGTTATGTGGTATGTTTGAAGAACAAGATGTCCTAGCAGACAGGATTAATAGGTTAATACTGATTTCACAGCTCACCTCTCATTTGTATTCTATAATCCTTCACTTTGCATGTATGTGCTGATGGGGTAGGGCTCTCCAGGGATGGACTTAGACTATAGTCTACTTTAAAAAGTACTGTTTTTGGGAAAGATGGCCACAGCACCACAGTTTCCCTCCATTAGTCAGAGTGGTTGTCAAAGAAACACTGTTATTGATGTATTTTGGGTGTTAATCGAAAATATAATGAAGAAAATGATGGAGAGACCAGGAGATAAGAAAAGGAAAGTGAGCAATGCATTTTTACAAACAATATATTGATAATAATTGTATTTACGAGTAGCACTGTTGATCGGCTATTAAGGGAATGATTTTCAAACATTACTGATAAGAATTGCGAAGCAGCATTTAAAAAAACTCCCAAAAGATTGCTTTTTTTTCCCCGCTGAACTTCCTTCAGGCCCATGGCCAATTGAGCATTATTGTCCATGATAAATATTTTATATAGCCTTGTTTTTAATCTGATGAATATGATAATGTGTATCTGTATGTGCTGTACAACTCATAACTGGGCTTTTCACAATCTACAAAGATTGCATGTGCAATGAATAAGATATGCAAATGGTTTCACTCTGCCGTTTAGAAACACACAACTGAATCTCCAATAAATGAGTAAATAGTATGTGCTACAGGTAGTTTGTGACAGTGCAAAGCAGAATGATTACGTTTTAGCAAAGGAGCCGGAGGTAATGATAGTATTATCAAAGAATCATACTGCTGAATATTCTCAGTCATCCAGGTCATAGTTTCTAAGTCATACCAAGGCTTTTGTTTGGGCTATTCTATAAGCCTGGAACTCAACACTACTCCAGACATTTTGAACTAAGCTGGAGGGGAAGGAAGCCGGAGTACCTGGAGAGAACCCACATATGTATGAGGAGAACATGAAAACTCGACGCAAAAAGTCCCTGGGTCTGGGAATCAAACCCAATACATCCTTACTGCAAGGCATCATTGTTACAAACTGTACCACCGTGCAGCCCTTGTTCAGTTCAGGTAACTAGATTTTTGGTTACACAAAAATAGCCAATACACATGGCTTTTGTCTATTTAGTATGCTAGTGACAGAGCTTTACCTTAGTCAAGTGGGAATGCTTATGCATTCCCACTTATTGTTTTTCTGTTTCTCTTTATTATTATCAAGTGGGAATGCTTATGCATTCCCACTTATTGTTGTTCACTTAAAATTTTTCTGACTCTAACTAGTCCCGCAGTTTTCAACCGATTTCAACAATTTTGGTATCAAAACGTTCAGCTCATTCAGGAGAATTCTGCTATGTCTTTTGGTAAAGATATTTTTGGTAGTTTTCGCGTTATTCAGCTTTTTCTGCGTTTTTTTTGTCCCA